GGAAACGTGTATACTTGTCATACAAGTTACAGACAAAAAGGATCGAAAAAAGCAGGCCCGGCCCTGAAAGAAGATATGGCAGGGCCCGCGAAGGCCCGGCAAAGGCCCGGATCACAAGTATGCAAAAATGGAATTAACGTAAACACTCTACATTTTTTTTCCAAACGTTTAATTCTAGACTATATTTAACATTCCCTATTAAAGGTTCCCAAAAATGGTCAACTGATAAAATATGTATTTTTAAACTTTAAATATTTTGTCGATTTTACACTTTTTGATATTATTGACAGGATGAATTGGGTAAAATTTCAAATCTAAGATGTTCATTCTATCATAAATGTTTCCGGGGATGTTTGGAACGGCTTTTTCGAAATTTTTCGGAATGTCGGATACCCACTTTTTTGATATTTCGGAATTTGGGGTTATTCTCATTATGAAAATATTAGAATTTGAGAATTTGAGATTATTCTCGCTTTGAAAATTTTGGAATTTTGGAATTTGGGATTATTCCTGTTTTGATACTTTCAGATATCGGAATTTTAGGTCATTCCAATTTCGAAAAATTCGAAATTTCGAAAGTTCGAAAAAATATATAAATTCCGTTTTCCGACCACAAAAACGCCAAAATCTGGTGAAAAATTGACAAAAAATTTCGAAAAGGCAAAATAATAATATCGACAGATCTCTGGAAATATGCCTGTCAGAATTTTCGGAATTCTGAATTTCGTTCTAAAAATCCCTGATCAGAGAACTCAAGGTATATTTTTTCCCCTCAATAATTTCGTCTGAAACTTCATATCCGTCGCCTACAGTGATACAATATTTCTTGTATTGAACTGAAAAATTGTAGCGGGGCTGGATTACGTTAATTGATGTGATCTAATGCAGTTCCTTCACCGAGTTTGTAAATTCCTCAAACTATATTTGAACCACAATGTGACGTGGCCTAGCTTCTCACGTTTTCAAAACTTCTATAACAAAAATGACACGTCACAATAGTTCATAGTGGTTGAAATTTCAAAAAATTCGAAGCTTAAATTCAGAGTCCACCTATCTTCAAACCGCTGGCATGACACCAAGCTAACAATTTTTTAACTAGAGTAATCCAGTTCTCAAACAAAAGACGCTCTCTCTACTTACTCCACAGCTATAACAAGTCGTTTCGTAACTGGCAAAAGACGGTGCGGGTTTCGGAGTGGTGACGATGACTACGGTCGGATTGGGTTGTCCACCAGGAAGAACCACGTTTTGCAAAGTTTCCACATCAATGACAGTTGGCTGAGTGAGCGGAACAAACGGCGGTGGTGACACTTTGTAGCTATGCTCGGGGGTGCCCATTTTTGATTCCTAAAATGTTGAAATTGGAAGGTAAAAACAGAAAAAATGGCAGAAAAGAAAAGGAAAGACAACAAAACTATAAAACATCAGAGAACAGCTCCGATTTTTTATGACGACTGTTGAATTTACGACTGAGATTCCTTTTCTCTTTTTGCCCTGTTCCCAAGGACTGAAAAAGGGAACGAATGAGAAACAAAAAGCCATTTTATGATGCGGCATGGGAGACCACTACTTTTTTGCTCTAGGATGTCATTAGAGTAAGTGGTAGTGTACATGTGAATAGATTCGCTCACACGCCGTGTGTCAGAGAACTCAAAATGAACTTAGCATATATGAGTATACTTGATTAGGTTATCTTCTTCTAGTTGGCTGAAATTCCCAGGCAGGCGGAAAAGAAAAAAAGGGAGCCAGAGAATATCGAGAATATATAATCAGTAGGGCAGAGAAGCCCCGCCAAATGTTCAACACCAAAAACGCAGCTCCTAAAGAATTCGAAAGTTGCTTGTGTCGCTGATGTTTTCAAAGTTTTCAAAATGGAAATTAGAATGGGAAATGGGACTTTTCTGTTCCTAAAAAATTTTGGAGTTCCACAGAAATAGCGGAGCGGGAGAAGAGAAAAGTTGGAAGAATAATACGATTTTCGAAAAAATAGGTGGTCGTTAAACCCATCGAAAAAGGAAGGAAAAAAAGAGTATGAGAATTGAAAAAAGATAGGATGTTTCGTGTTTATTTTTTTGATGGTCGTCTTTATGCAAATCATCATGATTCTTTTTTTTTCTCGATGTTTCCACGTTCCAAAAAAGAGGCAAAACGGTCTCAGTTTCACCTTTTGGTCTTGTTTGGTTTTTCCAGAACAAAATAGAACAGACAACTTCTGGAACAATAAATAAAGAGATTTATTTACCTTCCCCACAAATAAATTTTCCAAAGATTTGTACATATCTTTTCAAGCAGTGGTCAGAAAGTAATGATCACCGTCCACTATAAATTTGTTATCCGTTTCTGGCAGAATTTTGTATTGATTGTTTTGCTGGGTGGTCAACTAAAAGATGGGAAAATTAAAAAAAGAGTTCTCATGGCTTTTTCAACTAAAAAGTGGAAAAAGGAGGGGAACGAATCTGACTCTGATTCTGAGAGAAAGAGGGCGAGACCTAAAAATAAATTGTATGTGCTCTTCCCCTTATTTTTTTTTTGCCCCGTTTCGCTTTCCGCTTTATTTCTCAGTGTTGATGTCGTCAACGGAGATGAGACATGTCGTCAAGGTAGGATGGACTCACTTTTTTAGCATTTTGATTGTTCTGCAATTCGTATGGTGGTGGTGGACGGCGAGGACTGTAGGATGGTGGCGGCGATTCTGGCATGTTGATTTTTTTTAATTTTCTGCTGAAATATTTGGAATTTAAAAGAATAGAATAGCGACATATATAATAAGATAACATGAGCAAATAGGAGAAAAAAGCAAAATTAACAATGACAGACTAAGTAGAGGGATACTGTAGTTTCACAAAATGACCCTTTGGTACAGTACCTGTCAATAAAATTTAAAAAAACGTATTTTTCAGTAGATTTTCAGCTATTTCGACCATTTTCAGAATTCTGGAGCTCGGATGTCCAGTTTCCAATAACTTGGAAAACTTTGAATAGTGTAAAACGAGCCTAGATTGAAAATTTTACATTTTCGGACTTCTTCGAAACAACCTAATTTTTTAGCTATTTGCCGATTTTTGAAAGACACCTGTTTTTTTTCCAATCTTGGTACTGAAAACGTGAAGAAACAGGTGTCTTTCAAAATTCGAAAAATATCTAAAAACTAGAAACTTTCGCAAAATTTCTGTGAATACAAAATGTTTTATTTTTAAAAAATTTTTATAAACCCTTTAAAAATTTCATGTTTATCCAAAGTTTGACAACCGATCTCTAGACTTCTAAAACTGCCAAAAATCAGCTAAATATACCGCTACTATAGGTGCAATTAAAAAAATTGAGCATGTGAGGCCAAAAAACAAAACTAAGATTAAAAAATTGAGAAGAGGATTACTGTAGCTACCTAATTACATTGTGGTACCAAATTCCTGTCAGGTATATATTATTTCTTATGCAAAAAAATATGGAAATATTCAACTATTTTTTCAAAAAAAAAGACTGATCTTCAGTGTCCACTTCTGACTAAACGTGATTGCCGTAGCGGTCTTCACTTCTATTTTTCTCTCTCCCATCCCCCTATTATTTGCATATTTCGAGCGTCTTTTCGCCTTTTCCGGATTTAAAAAGTGAAAAAGAGACGAGTGTACATGAACAAGCGAGTGGTGTATATGTGTGGGATGATGACTAAATAACAATAATAAAGAGAAATGTTATTTGTCCATGAACATTGCAAAAATGTTTTACTTGAAAGAGAAATTGAAAAAGCAAAAAGGATACAGTAGGACAATTTTAGAAACAAGAAGCCAAAGATTTCATCTGTGCTACTGGTTGAGATGGAACGAGAAAAGGACAAAAAGAAAATGGAAACAAAGAAAGGGACCCAGTCGAACAATTAAGGGGCGTAATAGATCGGTTCCGATTGCACATATGCCGTGTTGTCGCTCTCCTCAGTCACTAAACACCAAACGTCTCCATTTCCTGTGTCTCATTTCACTCTTTGACACCCTTACCCAACAAGTGTGGACCCTTACAGAACGGAAAAGCAGAAGCAGAACAAGAAAAAAGAGTTTCAAAGATCTCGTGTTCCTCAGAAATGTTCTCTCTGGGCTCAAATTATCCATGCAAACCTAAAAGCCCACAAAACAATGTGGGTCAACAAGAAAAAGGAGAAAGTTTTGGGTAAGACACGGAAAAAGGGAAATGAAGAGTTAATTGAACCGCTCCACTTATTTTTCTTTACTTTTCTTGTCTGACCTGCCTAATTTCTTGCTAATTCCAAGTTTTCTACAAGAAGCTGTCGATAATTGAGAGTTACAAGCTCCTTGTCAACAAGTGTGGGCTTCAGATTCAATTTGGAAACCCAAATCTGGAAAATAATAGAATATGGTGACGTCAATACGTCGGGAGGTCAAGAAATTAGACTTTTGTGCCAGCCGGTTGGGTTTTCCCATCTAATGCACAGTGAGCTTTTTGGCAAACAATCCATCCATAGGTGTGAAAAAAGGAATGAAAAGAAATGGGAGAAAACGGAGAAGTGCTGATGGTTGGTGATGAATACTGAGGCTTCAAACCAGCTAGGTACTGAAAAGGAATCAAACAATTTTAGTACAGATGCATGAACTGATTTTGTGACTCACACCTTTTTGGAGAATAATACGTAGACAGTGACTGACTAATACATTTATTACACCCCTTGTACGCCGCGGTTCTTTCTGCCTATGGCGCGGTGAGACGATACACACGATTAGGCACAAGCTTCTATTTCTCGGAAGAGAAATGGTGTCTCGAGACGGTATTTTGCCATATAAAGGAACCGTATGCAATTGTTGTGGTTATGCGTATAGGTATGGGTTCATTCAGAATTCGGAGAAAGCGGCGGAAGAAACTAGATGACCGGCAGTGGAGGTTGCAGGCTACATACGATTCTTTTCGTTCTGGAAAAAAATAGCAGCGGGTCCCACATTTGCTTTTTTTTCAAAGGTCAGTTTTCAGGGAAAAGAAATTCTATCCGGTCCCCGAATGACGTAATTTTTGTCATCAATGTCTATAAACGGAAAGAAACATTAGTAAACAGATTCTGAGCACAAAACTCGAGTTTGCTCAAATCTTTTGAGCAGGTGAAAGTTAGAGAAAGTAGTGGACTACTGTAGTTTTTGAATTATTTAGAATGTGCATGATTGAGTAGCCTGGATTTGAGACTTGTATAATTCTTCATGATTACTAACAAACTACAGTAAACTTTCTAATGGAGTGTCATCCAAACTTTGCGCCCATATATCTCATTTCCTGTCAAATATATCAAGAAATGGTCAACTGACAAAATGTATTTGATATTATAGTTCACATTATGTTTGTTCACCATTTTTAGATATCTCTAAAAGGAACGAAGATAAATTTGCTCAAAATGGTTGGATTGGAGTGAAACTCTATTAGAGTGTTTACGGTAATTCAATTGAATTTCATTCATTTACTTTCGATATCACAAAATTTAGAATATAATTTTTGTCTGTCTGCCACCTAATAGTTAGTTTTTATTGAATTCCGAAGAAGATAAAATAGTCAGTGGGATTTTACCGTATTTCTTCTAATAGAAACCCACCTACAATGGCAACTTTGAGCTCAATTTCTGTGAAACATACCAACTATTTGTCAACTAATAAAATACTAGGGATATTATGATAAATAATTTATCAGTTGACCAAATTTTGCCATTTTCCACGAAAATCGAAATAATTGAGCTCAAAACTAAAGGATTGGGTGAGGTTCTATCAGAGTAGATACTGTATTTCCCTTCAGAAACATTACTAGTTCAGCCTGTATATGAAGCCCACAAAAATAAAAGTTAAAAATTTAAGACCTCAATAATTAGCAAATCTTAAGGAGCAGCACCATTTCGACGTACAACACGTGAAAGATCAAATCTCGACAAAAGATGGGTGCCGCCTTTCTCTCTCTCTCTCCCTCTTTCTCGCCATCCACCCTCAAGTAGTGTGCTTCCTTGGTTGTTTGTGGCCACTGTTTTGCCCTACGGCAGAATAAAGCCAAAAGACGTGGAAACGGAGAGCAAATACAGCCAGGAGAGAGAAAGTATCTCATCCGACTACTTCTACCATCACGCGCGTTTTTACCCGAAAACAGTATACCGTTTCACGCGTATTGTTCGATTCAGAGCTCGGACGGTGTAGTGTATTTGTATTTTTCTTACTGTCAAGTAACAAGGGTATGACTTGAAAAGTTAGGGCAACAAGTCTATAGAATTTCTATTTCATGCAGGATGTGATGACGTAAAAATGGGAATTTAATACTTCTTATATTTCTAAAAAAGATTTTCATCCTTGAATGGTGGGAGGGGGGTC